CACTTCGTGAACATATATTCAGAATCAGATGGACCCAATACTGTTCAAGAGAAAGTTAAAGTCATCTTGATTTTGGTATCATAATGTTCAGAAGATGTAAACTGTCTGTGAATATGATAATCAGATTATAAGAATCAGAAATCTTCATAAAAGCAAGAATTGGTCTCAGACTCAGAATCAAGAACTAGTATCAGATTCAGGGGGAGTTCTGAAGATCTAAATATCTGACCTATTGTAGCCAGAGGGAGTTCACCCAGAAAGGTTCACAAGTCAAAATATTTGATTTTCACCTAGTCTGAAATTCAGGGGGAGCTTCTCATCTGAAGAAAAGCTAGTTTTGCTTCTGATAAACAACGTGGCTAAGTTTTTAGAAAAGAACTATTTTGTATCTGTGCTACAGATGTGCAAATGCTTTAGAAGGCTCTGAAGTTATACGGCTTTGATACGATGTTTAGAGAAAACAAGGTCTAAAGATCAGAAGATGGAAGTTCTATTGAACTAGTCCAGATGCTGAAGACTTATGCTCTCTTATATCGTAGTAAAGTATTCCTTCCATTCTATTTGTTTTTATTTTTTTTTAAATATTTCTATTTTGTGAGTCTTGGGATCAGAGAAAGTCTCTGAACAAGCATAAAAAGATTTTTTAAGGTTAACACATTCAGGGGGAGCTGTTGCTTGAAACTCTGAATATGTTAATGCTTGGTGATCACCCTGTATAAAATGTTCTATCAAAATACATGTTTTTGTCATCATCAAAAAGGGGGAGATTGCAAGAGCAAGATTTATCTCTACAGGATTATCTCTATGTTTTGGTGATAACAATTAAGTATTTGTGAAAGAACCATTTTATGTTCTAATGTTTGTTATGTGCAGATCATGATAATTAAATATATAAGATCAAATAAAAAACATCAACGTGTGCAGCTAATACAATATGAGAGTTACTATGTGTGACGTATCATAAAGCACGTATGGGAGAACTAGTTTGCTTGTGCATCTGATCTGAAAGCATTTAAAGCGCATTGAAGAAGCAAGTATGGCTCTGTATCTGATCACAATCAGAAATATCCAAAGATGCTGTATATTGCAGTTACAATGCTCTTGTGGATTCTGCTTTGAGAAGTGTATCTGATCTGGAAGCTATCAACGCATCTGAGATATAGTCCTCTGAAGAACCAAGCTCTGAAGAATCTGATGACTTGAAGTTCTGAAGGCTGAAGGCTCTGAAGACCAAGTGCAGAAAGACTCCGAAGACTTAAGGGTTTTGAAGATCAAGACTGGGAAGATATAATCCTCTGAAGAATTATGTGCTGAAGACTCTGATGACTTAAAGCTCTGAAGGCTGAAGGCTCTGAAGACCAAGTGCAGAAAGACTCTGAAGACTAGATTCTGAAGATAAAGATTATGTAGCTTCACCCAGATAAGACGTGTTAATCAGATAAGCTGTTGCTATCGACTCTGATAAACAAGGTGCTGAAGTCAGACTCTGATGTTATTATGCTATCATACCAAAGTAGTTTCTGAACTACTCATTAGATACATCCTCAGAAGAACCAAAGCCAGAAGCTGATCTGTCCTAGCTGATAAATGAAGATCACATCATTTGTGGATAAGAGCCGTCTCTCACAATGATATATTAACGTTGCAAGAAAAGGAAAAGAAAGTGATGTCAGTACTATACAACACGTGAGTATTATATCCGTTGGGAAATGACCGTTGGAATATTTGAATGGACATCTCTATCCTCACAAATGCACTATAAAAGAAGAACATTTGATTCATTCAAATGTTAGCTCATTACAATACAAGCCAGCTTGTTAAGAAGCAATGATGCTGACGAGTGAAGTTAGCAACATAGTTGATTAACAAGAAAAGCTTTATGCTAAGAAGCCGCTGTGCTCACATAAGAAAGCTTTTAAGCAATATGGAAACTACTGTTCTAATAATCTCATAGAGATTTATCTTTATATTAGTTTCTGTATTAGGAAGCAAGGAGTTGTTGCTCAATACTTCCTATGTACTTAATTAGGAGTAATCTGCTTGACAAGAAGCACTCATGTAATCTCCGTCAACACAAAATCAATTTTGAATTAGTGGTTCCTCAAGTGATCTTGTGAAGATCAGAATACTTGAGATGACAAGTGACAATTGTCATTTGTGGAAGTCTAATAGGAGATCCTTTGTGATCGGATTCTATTGGATGTCAATGAACGTTATATCCTAAGGGATCCCTGAACGTGTCATTGCCTATTTGTTAGTCACATGCAGTTAGCTTGTGCAACTGTAACCAATTTGGTTATAGTGGATTAAGTCCTTGCTTGAGTAAGGCGAAACCACCTTGGAAGGGTGGACTGGATTAGCTTGAGAGTTGCTCAAGTGAACAAGGATATATCATGTGTTCTTTACTTGTGTTATGCTTTATTATTTATGCTTCCACTATGCATCGCATAGAACTCTATAGAAAGCAACAAGTGAAGAAACCCAGAAAAAGTTTTAATAGAGTAAATACCCAATTCAAACCCCCTCTTTCTTGTGTATTTCTCACACCTTCATGTGCCTGGATTATAAATTAAACCAAACCAAACCACATATATGGTTTGGTTTGGATCTTAAAACCATTTATATAAAACCGATTTATTTTTTTAAAACCGGTTTACAAGTGGATTGATTCGGTTTCAAACCGGTTTTTTAAAAAAAAAACAGTTTTTTTTTTAAAACCAATTTTAAACCGATTTCTCTCAAAACCAGTTTTTTATTTTCTTTAAAGAAATCAGTTTTAAAACCAATTTTTTTAAAAAAAATCAATTTTATTGCAAACTATAAAATAATTGATAAACCACCTGAAACTTATTCTACTTTAAACTTATTGCAAACTATCAAATAATTGATATAAATCAATTAATCAATTTTATTTTAGTTTTACATTGAATTAAATCAACACTCCATATATATTAAATTTTAAACTACTCAATGTAAAACTGGAATTAGACTAATTTCTTTTCATCGTGAATTAAATCAATTAATCGAGAAGTACGTTGAATTGATATAAATCAATTAATCGTGAAACTTATTCTATTTTACACTTATTGCAAACTATCTACCTTAAACTTTTTCTACTTTAAACCAAATCAATTTTATTGCAAACTATGGGTGTTGATCTTAATTTTTTCAAACTATTCTACTTTTATTTTTGAAGCTTATTAAAAAATGATTACCGAATCTCAAACAAATGGTTATCAATTTTTTTTAATTTGATAAATGGATCACCAAAGTTAAAATATAAATTTGGACTGAATTTTAAAATTTAAATTAATTTGGATAGGAATTTGATTTATAAGTTTTATTTATTACATATATATGATTTTAAAAATTGAACACCAATTTTTAATTGTTTTAGTAAAATGAATTTGGACTAATTTTTAAACCAAATAATATAGACTTTTAAAATTAGTGCATCATATTTTTAAATTTGATTCTTGTGAACCGATTTTTTTCACACACCTAATTCATGGTACCTAGACACTAGTTAAAGCAACCATATGTGTGAAAAAAAGAACATGTTTGTTAAGCAAGCTGAATCAATAAATTGAAATGTATCATTTGGTGATGTTAAGCTCTAGTGAAAGAAAAATGTAATATATTAATTTGTTTAAAAGATGGAACGACATTAATTTTTTCAAATGATTACCACGAAAAATAATATTCTTAGTTTGGAACAACTTTTAGAAAAAGATATATTTAGATGAAAGATTTAAGTCTCTCCATGAAAGGTAAAAAAATTATCTATTCATAAAGATATAAATGTTAAAAATATGATGTGCTTATTGAATCCAAAACGACGTGGCAAAATGTCTCATATGTTACAGTGGCTTTGGCATCTTTGATTTGAAGACTTAAAATTTAAAGGCTTACGTTTGATGCAAAAAAATTTAAAGGCTTACGTTTGATGTAAAAATAAAATATGGTAAGAAGTCTCCCACAAATCAATCATCCATATCAGTTGTGCGAAAGATTTATTTAGAGCGAGTTTTCTAAAGAAGGCAAGTTTAAGAGCAAGAGCTAAGAAATCACTTGAGCTTATACATAGTGATGTGAGGGTCAATCAAGCTAAGGTCATTAGAATTTTTTTTTCTTTTTTTATCGATGATTTTTTAAGAAAAACTAGAATTCAAAAAATTTAAAGCTATGCAAAAAGACAGAGGAGGTGAAATCCCTTTTAGAAGACAAGTTTTTAAAAAGTCACTTGAGCTTATACATAGTGATGTGTGAGGGTCAACCAAGCTAAGGTCATTAGAAACTTTTTTTCTTTTTCTATCGATGATTTTTTAAGAAAAACTAAAATTCAAAAAATTTAAAGCTACAGAAAAAAATAGAACATTTATAAAAAATTGCCAAAAGATTTTTTAGGCAAAGACAGTAGTGTGTGTAATATATCTATTATTGATCTCTAAATAGAAGTGTATGTGAAAAGAAATAACAAGAAGCAAGAAATTTTGATATCTCACACGGGAGTAGATGAGAAAAGAACCAAATTTGAAGAGAAAAAAAATCATCTTTGTTGGTCATGAACAAAGAAGTTTCTGTTTGTTGGAAGTGTGTAGAATACTATTATAAATTAAAAAAAAAAAAAAACTAAAAAAACAATGCAATCAACTAGTATTAAATAAACTCGAATGCAACAAAGTCAAACAACAAATGAAGGCGCAGCATTTATATCTTGGCATCTTGAACTCTTAAATTCTAGATTTGTTTTAGTTTGAAGAAATTTTTACTTGTTAGGTGTTCATTGAATAAAAGAAGCAAATACATATTAATTAATAAATTGAAACTGCAGCCATTGATATACACAGTGCAATGCTACAAACTGACACTCCTTCATACAAGAAACAACTGATCCATCCTAAATAAACACAAAACATAAAACAGAAACATAGTAAACTACAACATTATTAAAATTTTAACAAGAAACAAACTGTAGCTATAGATTACAATATTAATTATTAAACCCTAGTCGCAGGAACACCCTTATGCATAGGATCCCCAGTAGTTCCTCCTCCAACACCATAGTCGGTATCACGATAACCTGGACCATATCTGCTGTTATACAACCCTGCATGGATCAGCAACAAATACAACAATTGTGTGAATGTCAGTATGATTATGAAAGCTTCCACCATCTTTAGCCTCCACCCTCTATGTCCTCCTATGTGTATCTCCTTGCAAGCCAACCTAATCACAACACATATACAATAGTTATTAAGTTATTACATATTATATCGTGTCCAGTGTCTGTGTCTGTGTCAGTATGTATGGTATTTCAAAGGTTTAGTAATATACCCCATGGCTAGAGCAGTAACAGCCCAAGCAACAACCGATGTAGCTCCAGCAGATGCTAAACTGTCACTCCTCCATGCTCTGATGTGATTTCCACCTATAAATTTCGACACAATACCAAGAACAGAAGCTAACATTGCAAAGATCAAGAAGAACGTGGTAGCACCATTCCCACCAAAACCTGAAACAAACAACCACATACACAGAACAAACTCAAACCAAGCTATTGTTTATGCACATGAACAAAATGGGTTATTTTCTGTGAACTTACTTGGGTGATAAGTTTGGCCATTGATGAGCCTATTGAGACACCAACTAGCAAAACCAAGAACAATCAAATACATGAGCAAGTTCAGAAACAGCAATGGAGCTAAAACATTTCTCCCCACAGAAGCCATACTTCAGAAGCTTGTAGAATCTTTCTATCTTTATCTGCTTTTGCACCGATTTCAACTTTACAGTATTTTCGTTTTGTGAGCTTGAATGTGACATTGTGAAGCTATAAATAGAGATTTCGAAAGATGGTTTGAACTTTGAAGACACGTGTCAGTTAACAAGGTCTAGCATGTGTGCTTTCTTGTACAGGTGGTAGGACACTTGTCATTTGTTGTCACAATGTTCTTAACAAATCTATTGCTGTCTTTTTGGAATATTATATCTCAACGGTGTCTTATAATAATCAACCAATGCTTCATTACTAGTACTTTGGACTAGCAAGATTGTTATCGGTGGGTACTTCAATTTTCTTCACTATTTGAAATCATTTTTATTGTATTCATATTAAATGTAACATTCTGATGGTTTTGGTATGTCGACAAGTTGAAGAATAGGATATCTATTGGTTGAACACTTGTATAGAGGTTCTGTTTCAGAGAGATACTATACTTGTCTATTTGGACAAATAATGAGAATTCGGATTCTTATGTTAATGAGAATTTGGACGTTTTTAAGTTTTTAATGTTTAAATATGTTCCATCAAAATAACATCACTTTATTTGGAGAAATCAATAACAACGCTTAATCATTAAAAAACTAGTTATTTTTTTAATAAAAAAATTATTTTAATTTATTTTAAAAGCTGAATTTTATAATAGGAATACGAGCAAGTTTGTTTTAGATTTAAAAAGATAATAATAATTTTTTTTATATTTTTAAAAATGGATTCTACAAAAATGTTCTTTAAAATATTATAAATTTTTTTAAATTTATTTTTTATAAATTAAAAAATTAATTTTAACATATTACAATATAAATATACAGAAGATCAAAACATAGTTTAAATTACAGTTTTTTTAAAATTTTGTATTTTTAAAATGATTTTCCTAAAAATCAATTTGAAATAACTTTAAAATTAATTGATTTATTAAAATTTTGATATCCACATTTATTTTATAAAATCATAAAATACATAAAATAACATTTTAAGAATAATCGTTCAAATTAAATTTTCATTTAAAATTTTTTTATAAAATTTTTTATACTATTGAAAATTATTTTAAAAAAAGAAGTCAAAACAAACCGGACCTATAAATAAAATTGAAATCTAATTATCTTATTTAATATACCCCAGTAAAAAATTAGAAATAAGATTAGAGATAAATAAAATATTAATTTATATTTTAATGGATAATAATAGATCCATTATTTTTGAAAAATAGGAGTAAAAAATATCAATGATAATCTTGAAAATAAATTGTTAATTTATGTTTTAGTGTCTTGTAGAAATTTGAAATGATTTATATTTAATTTTTCTTTAATGAATATCGATAAATTCTAATATGTTTTGTCATGTTAGGTTGAAAGGAATACTATTATAAATAATAATATTTTATAATAAGTTTTTCACATCAATTAATAAAAAATCGATGAGTAAATGATATGCACACCACATTTGAATTTAAAAAAAAATACTATTGTTCCCCGGTTATTCTAGCAACCGAGATAAAAGATTATGATCAACTCCAATCGAATGACACTAACTGCACTTAAGCACATTTTATTATATTTTTAAATTTTTTATTTATGACATGTTCCCTCAATTTATTTGGCAACCAAGGGAAAATATTTTGATGAATCTCATTTGAATCTCAAAAACGTCATTTTAGTGCATTTTATTATTATTATTATTTATTTATGAACTATTCTCTAGGTTCTTTTAGCAAATGAGGAAAAATGTGTGTTTGTTTATTTAACCAACAAATCTTTATTGTTCATTTATAAAGTAACAATGATCAAGACATTGTCAACTCATCAATTCAAATGAAACATCAGTAAGCCGCATAAAACCCACACCAACTAATATATTAGAATGTAAATACCATAAATTTATCTTGAAAGTAGAGTGCATAGTCTTGAAAACACACTAATAATGAAAGAATTATATGAGGTAGAAGTCATTCCTTAGGATGGACTGTAGAGCAAAGATATGTCTAAAAGTTGGTTCATTAATGTATCTTCTCTTGTAATTTCTATTTTTTAATGGATGCTTGTTAAAATTGTTTGCTGTTATAGTTAGGAAATCATGGATGTAACTTAACAATGTTTGTTATTGGTTTTGTTATGGTTGTTGTTATTGTTGGAAATATTAAAACTCAACAACAACAATTCATGCTTTCTTAACAACATTAAACTTTTTTTACAAGCGTGTATTGACAAAAAATAATTTTAGCAATTAATATTACAAGAGAAGAGGAACCAACCTTGATCAAAACGTTTCTCAACTCTTGCAATTAATACTGAAGAATTGTTTTGTATTGTTTACTTGACCTCAATGGAAAACTAACCAAGGGGAAAAGTACTTTATTTCACCTTGCTGGAAAAATGAAGTTAGGGGAAAAGTGGGAACTTTACATAATGCCCTTCTTTACCTCGCTCATGACAACCAATGTATAAGCCTCGTTTCAAACGAGGTAAAAATATGTTTTTGTAGTGGTGGGATTATATGCAATACCGATGAGCGATTTATCGTCACCAAACAACTCCATATGGCCTTCACATTGTATCTTTAAATCTTATAGCATTTATTTCATCCAAAACAATTTTAAAATTCCCAATGCCATAACTTTGTATTTTGCTTTAGCGCTTGATCGATTAACCACACTTTGCTTCTTACTCCTCTAAACAACAAGATTTCCACACAAGAAGGTACAATAGCTTGAAGTTGATCTTATATCAATCAATAAACTTCCATAATTAACATCAACGTAAGTGTCCATAGTTAGAATTCCACCTCTTTTAAACAAGAGTCCTCTCAGTGGAGAGGCTTTGAGATATTGGATAACAGAATCAATAACCTATAGATGTCTCACCCTCAGATCATGCATCAATTAGCTCATCACATAAGTTACATATGCCAAATCTAACACTATGTGTGCCAAGTAAATTAATTTTCTCACTAACCTTTGATACTCATGACCCTTTTTAAGCTGCGTGCCGACTTCTAATTAGTCGTCTCTCAAGTTAGGGGGAGACACATGCCAAAAACCCTTTGTTACAGTGATACCTCATGCTAGCCACCAAGAAACTAGAGAGATTCAAGGCGTTCGAGATCACCCATGTGCCACTATAAGAGTGATCGCGACTTTCCGAGTCTAATCGAATTAACTGCAAGTGTACAGTCTATCGCGTAGTAATAAAGATATCGATCCCACAGGGACTCGTAATCAATCTAGTGTTCTCAGACGTTACTGTGTTTAGCTAGGTCGTATATGGTTTTTTTAGGGAAAATATGCAAAAGTAAAGGCTGAACTAAAGATATGCTAAACGATTTCTTAGAATATTAATGCGAGAATCGGTATGCAATGACTTAGGGCTTCGAGGATTCGATAAGTTACCAGTGCGGTTTAATAATTTCAAAATGGTTTTCAGAAGAAAATAACAGTTTAAAGACCTTTGTCTCACGATGGTTGTTGACGCTAGTCGCAACTCTAAGGCGGAACGTATGCTTTCGCAATCCCGTTCGGGGTTAAAATTGATTTTTGAAAACCATTGAGTTCTAATCTCTTTTAAAATGCTTTCGCTATGTTTAAAATAGATGCTTAGTTTTTACTATCTGATCCTAGCCTCAGCTTTCGCATGTCGATTCATACTTTAGTAAATCTCCCACTGTCATGGTGAGGTTTCTTTAAATAAATTCTCGCTGTCGCGATGAAGTTTAGTTTAACAAATTTGATTTAAAAACTAGAGCCAGAAACAAGTTTGAAAAAGGGAAAATGCGCCGGTTATTATCGAACCTCGTTCTACTAGTTCATTACATACCGATCGATGCGGTTTAGCTAGACATGAAATTTAAAGCATGCATAATTAAGTTAGAATAGCAGAACTTGTAAACATACATATTAAAGCAAATATAATTAATTAATAATAACGGAACCTGTAAATAATTCTGGTTCGGCACTTGGATAATCCTCCACAATGTCGGCAGGATTACTCTGGTGACGATTAATTGTCCGAAAAATTAAAGAACGAAAGGTACAACTGAATTCTGGTGTAATACCCCAAATTTTACCCTTATATTTAGTCAGTCATTTCGCATATCATATCATATGTACATTTGCTAACCACTAACAAGTTATGAAGGTGTTTTGTTTTGCAGATTTGGTTCCAGGGATATTTTGGTCATTTTACGCAAATTCTACTAATTCCTTGAAAACGGGTTGTTATTACGTTCTGAGGCATTTATTTGCCACTTGGGTCAAGGTGCCGGTATGTCTTGGACTCGGGGCCGTGCTTTGTTTGATGTTGAAACATTTCTAAAACAATTTTGTTTCCTCTTAATAAGATGAGGTTGGGTTGAAAAGGAAGTGGATACTGTTAAGGTTATTTTAAGGGATATGATCAACGAGATTTTAATTTGAATTTGTTTGAATATAATCATATGGCGGGATATCATTTATAAAAGGCAAAGGAGAAGTAAGTTTGAACTTTGTGTTCATAAGTACTTATAAGTTACTACTCAAGAGGGAATTTAAATGGTTCTGAATTTACAACTGAGAAAGTAAATATGAATATTTGGTGAATTTCATTTCATAAATATTTATAGTTTACAAATTGATAAGTGAATTTGAACTTGGTTTACAAGAGGTTTCAGTTACAATAAATATCTATCCTAAATCCTAAAAGTTCCTAAGTGTCTTCATGCTGTCTTTAAGCTTCGCCGCAGAATCTCCAAATTCACCTGCACATCAAAACAAAACAAACAGTATAGAAAAAGGTTAGGAGTTGTTTTTGACACTCTCAGAACAATGTCATCATCGAGTGCCGGGAGTGGCACAACCGAAGCTGCGTCCTACCCCCCGTTACCGATCCGCGCCGTGGGCGTCAGATCAGGTAACACATGTTCTTATCGTTACGGGACATCCGAGAGATAGAAGTAATAAAAGAAGTGGGACTGATTCGT